CATTGATCAATTCAAGCATATGGAGTGATGAATGGACATCAGAACTCGACTGGCATCCGATTAGAGCATGTTTTTGAAGAATGATGGGAGTATCAAGTTCTTTTGTGTTTTTTCTATTTTGGATTTCAATTAGGATTAGCTCTCTCCATTATCTATCTTTTGTTTTGTTTGTTTATTTTGAATCCCACTAAATAAGATGAGTGTTAGTGGCTTAAGCCATCTATATTGAAATAAGTATGACAAATGATGTAACCCGTTCTAACCTTTGACATAGCTCACTATCTTTTAGTCCATTGAGCACATTGTTCATTTTCAGGTGTGGGATGGAAATGTGTTGTAATGTTTTACGTGATTATGCTTTATACATTATATATCTTTTGTCGTTCAATTTCGACATTTTCATCCAATGCTTTTAGTTATGTTTTATGTGCATTTTTTCAAAAATTCTAAAGATGTATCATCCATTTATTGGCTTGAGTAATCGAATTATTTTTGTTTTTTGACATGATAAGATTTGAGAAAATTTTATTCAACTCTAGTCACCCCCCTACAAGAATGTTCAGTGCTCATCTCACTTTAAATCAATGAGTCTATGGAATGTCAACTGATCTAGGGAGAATAGTGCAGTGACTATGAAGGATGTGATATTCAATGAGATATAATGAACATTTGATATGTTTGAATGCTATGTTTTTTTATTCATTCATAGATTTCTTATTATGGAAAGGAGCCTCACTTTTTAAAAGTTTTTTACATAGGGTGAACTATATCTTCTACAAAATGTAAGAAATACATATCAAGACATGTTTTTATCATTCAAAATTGCCATGCTATGTTAAGAAATTCAAGTATGGGGTAAACCCAACGTGCGAGGCATCTTTTCATTTCACAAAATTGGGGTTTTGGAAGATATACTAGTTGAGCTTAAGTGGTGAAGTCCTACAAAGCTATGCTAGTTCCTCTCTAGTACAAGTAAAATTTCCACATGTTGAATGGATAGCCAACTTCAGGATGTGTCCTTAAGGGCCGGATAAATCTCCCGACACCCGTTAGTTTCATTGACCCTCCACGCGAATTGAGGTATAGGAGCTTCTAACTATTGCTCAACCAATAAACACCTAACACTCCAGTAAATAACTACACAAGAAAATAACAAAAAGTGATGCCCTCTAGAAAATCTAAGAAAATTTTAAAAGTAACTAAGTAAGTGATGGTATATGTGTTCTAATAAGGAAACATGTGCTTAAAGAGTATGCCAAATGGTATAATCATTCAAAGCTAAAAAAATATTTGTCAAAAGCTTCACCCTATGTGTTTTGAGACTCTAATGCATGATTAGTTGTCTATGCTCTGATTGGATTGCATGAGGTTCTTTCATGTTAATGTGGTTAGGATTCCTCGTCCTATAGTTGACCTTGTAAGAGAGAACCATGTCGAAGGATCTTGACAAAATGACCCCATAACTTCGGGAGAAGTAGCTTGACTGAAGGGGGGGAATATGTGAACACGAAGAAACAAAGTTACTCGACTGAAAGGAGAGGGGGAAATATGTGAGCCCAAAAAGCGGGTGAAAGTTTATCATAGGTGAGCCCTGGATATGAAAATTTTGAGTATTCAGAGAAGCTCGCGTTACTCCCAATACTATGGCTCGGTAACCGATTGTTTCTTCCAAAACGAATCATATTCTTTCCGCTCGCAATAATCCAATTAGTTCTCCTGGTGAAAAAATGTTAGACATTCCATCTTCTGAAACCAACACTTTTGATGTTATGTGACTGATTTGGGTTAGATTACACACTTTGTACCCTTGACTTGTGATGTTTGATGTGTTTTCACCATCCTTGGAGCTAGTTTACGCTGGGTTTGTTCGTGTTTTGTCATGTTTCAAACAAAGCAGGTAATCTTGGCACCGGGATCGAAAGTCGGATGAAAGAGGCCGAAAAAGGAGCAAAATGGTCAAAGTTGCGAAGATCATGGCCAAGCAAAGATTACTACATGTGGCATTTCGTGATGTCAACACTCTAACTATGAAGATCGCATGTTTCCAAGAAGGATGGCCTTTGTGGAAGGGATAGGGCATCACAAATTAATGAGTTAGTATGCATGATCATCTAGAAAACACTATCTAAACCATCCTTTCACTTGCTTTGTTTGTTTGTTTGTTTGTTTGTTTGTTTGCTTTCTTTATTTGCTTTAGTAGAATAGATCTCAAAATCAAAGGGCCCATCAACCCACTTGCTTTACTTTTCTTGCATTATTTTACTCAACAAACGTGATTAGTTTTGAGTAGTTACTATTAAAACTCGATTTACAACAATCAAAACCACAGAGAGAGGAGTTAGACAGATAAGTAGTTCCCTTGTGGAGGGAGAGTAGAAGAAGGAAGAGGTTGAAGAAGAATTTCTTTGCACAAGAAGAAGCATTCTTTCATGTTTTCTTCCCTTTTTTCTATGGTTTTCCTCCCCCATTCATGGGGTAGTTTCCTAAGGTACTTGGGCATTTGCCCCCAAACCCTAACTTAGGGTTTGAGATGTAATTGAACATGTATTGTGATTTTATGCTTAATTTGAGTTTATCTAGAGTTATTAATTCCTTTATCTGAGTTTGGGTGTATGAATGTATGTATGGCTTAATCTAGCCTATAGCAACTTAGGTTAGTTCTTGATTATATGTGAATGATTGCCTCTAACTTTAGGTTGTTGATATTGAGTCCTAGTTGTTGGACGTGGTTACCATCCCCCACCAACTAGGAGCTCACCTGGGTAATGCTTGGGACTCGAATGTGTGACCATCGACTCAAAGAACTTGTGCGCAGACGGGTAGAACCCGTTTAGAGCAGATAGCTCGTTATCCCTGGTCATGGAAGTCGGTTGTGTTGACATTGGTCCGATGGACATGGCTAGGAGAGGGGTCGAGCGACATGACCATTGCACTGAATCCTAGTTTAGTGATCTGTGCACCTCAATTACCATAAATACTTTACTTATCAATTGCATATCTGCCTTTCGTAAGGGTGAGGGTAGGTTACCCCAAGTATCATTTTCACTATTCTTGTTTCTACCGTTAACAATTTCTTAGTACTAAAAACAACCAATTGTAGATTAGATAACAATAAGACTTAACAGAAGTAGGATAGGGTATCAGCAATCCCTAGGGAATACGAGCGAGCCGCTATACTGCAAACCTAATAACGGTTACTTGCCATTGTTAGGGTTAGCAGTTGGTGTGCATCATTATTAGTACTCAATCTCACACCTTGTCGGTATCACCAATCCCTAGGGATACGAGCGAGCGGCTATAATGCAAGCTTAATAATGGTAAACTTGTCATTGTTAAGGTTAGGGTTAGCAGTTGGTGTCCATCGTTCTTAGTACTCAATCTCACACCTTGTCGTGCGAATTAGAAGGCTGCTTTGACGATGATGGTGAATTGCTGAGAGATACATCATGGGATAGGGATGAAGGAAGAAGAAGAAGAAATGGAGGGTTAGTTTTGGGTTTAAACAAAATCAATGAGGCTAGTTTTGGAATAAAAAGGTAAGAATGTAACATTTCAAAATATTTGAGGGGGTTCAACTATTTCAAAACCTGAAATTGAGGATTTTTTAAATTACTCGGGGCCAAATCTCTCATTTTATGAAATCCCTCATCATGAGAGATTTGAGCAAAAATTTCACGCCAAAAACCATCATCCAAAGCACCCTTAAAGTTTTTTAGCCTATTATGATTAATTACGGTACATAAGCATGAGAGTGCGCAATAATTTTCCACGTCCACCTGAAATTGGTGGTGGTGATTAGGGTGGAAGTTTAGCACTGGTATTTGGATTTATTGAATACTGTTGCGAATTTATCATTGTTTGGTATTATCGAATATCCTTATTTTTAGGGATTGGGATTTGAATTCATTTTGAAGTGTTATTTGGTGTTCGGGATTAGAAGGTATATACCAAAATATCGAGAATAAACAAAAATTAAAAATAATAAAATGAAACACACATACTTTGGTTCTTGTTCACTCTTTGAAAACTCAAAACCCCCCCCCCCCCCCAGTCCAACCCAATTTTGACTTTTCAATTTAAGTCACGTTGGTCTCTCACTCAATTTCTTGTTATTTTCATGACACCAAAAAGCTAAAAATTCTCAGTAGTCTTCTCTCAACCTCCAATCCATAGAATTAGAGATTACCAGTGACAAGAAATTGAGATATCACAATCTCATCCCTTCTCCTTATCCATGTCCTAGCATTAGAGGAACTCAAGACCCTTTTACCTAGTCTCTTTGCACTGAATGGGAACCTATGATGAATCAGTTTGATGGAGACTTTATTGAATTCAATCAATGATGACTTCGATTAGTTTTTATTAGACCTTTCTCACCTCAAATTCTCATAATCAAAACTTTCAATCACGAAGTTAAACTACAAATCTACATTATATAAAATACTCGGGACTAGGAGTGTTGTAACCATTATTTAGTCACTTAATTATTAATTGTAAAAGTAATTAGCTTCATATTCGAGAATATCGATTAAGATAAGGAAATATTTTGAGACTGCATTGAGATACCAAATTTATTATGAAATTGAGATTAATATTAATTTGATAGTGTAATTTCATATTCGAGATTTTGATATTCGATACGAGAATAGTAACACTATACAAATTTCCACCCTAGTTGTGAACTTGTGATGAAGTTTGACGTTGTTCTGATTTGACCATATCTCCCCTCGACTTAAATCCCTTGGCTTGCAAGGGCATACCTGTCTCTCCATCTAAATTTCGAATCGGAGCGGGAAAGTTGGACAAACGACGCCGCCTGGAGCTCCTGACTGGCCGACTCAGACTCTCCCGTAACAAACTCTCGACTTCCGGTTAAGGAAGAGTCCAGCGCCACTCTCTCACTCACTCATACCTCCAAGCTTCCAACAATGGCGGATGGTAAGAGTGAAACAGAGCAAAAGGAATAATCAAAACCCAACTCTCCATCCGAGAGAAAAAAAATGTTGATCCCAATTCTCGACGTCTGCAGAAAGAGGAAGCGGACCCCCAAGTGCTTCGACTTCCACAGCTTCGGCGATCCAGGCTCCCGGATCGCATTCACCGCTCCCTTCCGTGATAACATCAGAATCTTCATAAACGAGTGTGCAGAGCTTGAAGATTACGAAATTGAAGGAATGCCCATATGGTGCACTCTATTGACCACCACAAGCAATGTCGTCCTCCCGCTGTACACCGTCGAAGAGAGCGTCCATTCTTCCCAGAACCCTTTCTGCGATCAATGCAGATGCACTGGTAAAAGAAATCCGATCCATTCCATTTTCCCCCTCTGTTTCTGATTCCCTTTCTTGGTAAAACCAACTGGGTCTCCGTCGCTTTCCCTCTTAAGAAATCTGGGAATTTGTTAGTTGCGAGGAACTTTCTGTTTTGGATATAGATTTGCTGGAAAAAGGAGCCTCTGATATCCGTAATCCATCACGATTCTTGGGTTCTTGAATCTTGCTCTTAGTTAATAATGGATTATGCTCCACTGGGTTGCAGGATGGGGCAACAACTTGGTTTCCAAGAGAAAGTATCATATCATAATCCCAGTCCGCAGCAGCTGGAACAGGCAGCTAGAAGAAGGATCGCTCGATCTCGAATCCCATCTCCTACACGGACTGATTCACTGCAACGGATTCGGGCACCTGCTTTGCATCAACGGGATCGAAGGCGGCGGCGGTTCCAAGCTCCTCTCCGGCAGGGAAATCATGGACCTCTGGGATCGGATCTGCGGATCCCTCCGAGCTCGTTCTGTCTCCGTGGAGGACGTCTCCAAGAAGCGATCAATGGATCTCCGGCTTCTCTACGGCGTCGCCTACGGCCACTCCTGGTTCGGGAGATGGGGTTACAGGTTCAGCCGAGGAAGTTTCGGAGTAACGGAGCAGAGCTACAACAGAGCTCTGGAAGCCCTCGCTTCTCTCCCGCTCGATCCAATTCTCGCGGATTTCGATTCCAAGGGCCAAGGAGAGGAATTGAGGCGTATGGTTCGACATTACAGGGATCTCTGCCGGACCCGATTGACGAATCTGGGAGAGCTGCTCCGATTCATGCTCGATTTGAAGTCCTGCCGATGCGGAAGCAAGAAAGAAGCAATCCCTAACGGCGTTAACTCAACTCCGTCGTCGAGGGTTCTGGTCAGGAATCCATCGCCGTTGACGAGGAAGGCACAGAATCGATGCAGGAAGTTCAGCTCCGTAATCGCGACGCTGGACAGCAGATGGTCGGCGAAGAGGATGGAATTCGCGGCGGGAGTCATCGTGGAAGCTCTGAAGGTAGGGAAGAGCTTGAACGGCGAAGGGATGAGCCGGCAGCAGGTGAGGGACGCAGCTCGGATGCACGTCGGAGATACGGGGCTGCTCGATTACGTTCTCAAATCGATGAACAACGTCGCCATCGGGAATTCCGTCATCCGGCGAGCTGTCAATCCCAGAACCAGGACTCTGGAGTACTCCATTGCCGACCTCGGCCAAGAAGGATCCAGTTCCGCAGCCGAGAGGAAATTCCAAGAACAAAGTGGACTTCTCGTCCCAGGAATCGATTTGTACGGCGACATCAGCTATCTGTACAAGAATGTGCTGCTTAACTACCCAGATTCGGAGCTAGTGGACACTGCAACATTGACTGTTCTAGACTCCAAGCATTTCGTCAAGGACTGGCCGTTGAATGACAGATGCGACCAGCTGCTCAGATTACTGTGTCGGGTTGACGCCATAGATGCCGGGGAGCAGCGAAAGCCGGATATCAGCGAGATAGTAGTACTTCCACCTGATGCAACCATGGTGGAGCTCAAACAGGCAGTAGAGGAAGCCCTGAGGGACAGCTACGCCATGCTGGAGAATGTGGAGGTGATAGAGGTTAAGTACATGGAGGATGTGGACGATGATCAGGCGTTGGCCGGAGAAATGGAGTCCGGTTCAGAGATTGTGGTGAGGGTGGCCGTCGCAGGAGGGAGGGAGATGAAGGTGATTAGCAGGTGTAGTAGTAGTAGCGGTGATGGCGAGTATGAAGGAGGGGCTGAAAACTGGAGAGTGAAGTGCGAGTGCGGAGCTCGAGATGACGACGGGGAGAGGATGGTGGCATGCGATGTCTGTGAGGTCTGGCAGCATACGCGATGTGTCGGGATCGATGACTCGGAGAAGGCACCGCCGTTATTCGTGTGCAGTGGATGCTGCGTTGCTCTTGGTGGTGAGGACGGTGGTGGTAGAATGGAGATGATCGACTTTGGGACAAGCGTTGATGATATGCTGATGATGGGTGGTGGTGGTGGATTTGAGTGTGGGGGTTATCTCCTGTGTTGATCTAGCTCGCCGGCCATCCGGCCGTTGGTTCTTCTGTACATGTAACAGTGTGCTGTTTTGTAGATTTTGTACATGACAAGTGAAATGAAACACTGAAATTGTTGTACTACTTCCAGATAACAAGGTCAAGAGCAGCAGACACAAAGTTGTAAGTTGTAACGAAGGTTATGATTACATTTGTACATCATTTGCTCAGGTTAAGAAATGAAACATTCATCCATCTTGTACACACACAAAGGAATTGCAGTTGCAGAGAGACTGGCGAGGAGCAGCTAAGCATAACTGAGAAGTGAACAGTAGGCGAGCCCTGTCAAGTTATAGTGTTAGTGTCATACTTCCAGAGTTCCAGTGACTGGCTCCAAAAGAGTTAGCCAGCAGCCAGCACCACTGACCACAACTTAACAGGGACTGGAAATGTCTTCCAGCAGAAAGCAGCATTTGCAAGTGAATCCCTGGAGAAAAGTAGAGGTTGGTAGAAAGCTCGAGAGAAACAAAACACAGGGACCTCATTTTCCAATGCTTAAATGAAACTAGACTAATAGACAATCAAAACTTGTACAAACTCGATCCCAGACATCTATTATCTATAACTTGCAGGGGCAGGAGATGATAAGATAGGGACAGAGAAATTTAAACCACTATGATACCAAGCCTGAGGGAAACAAGAAACAAGGATTTCATTTTTGAAACTTAGAAAGCAAACTCTGGAGTCTGGACTATCCAAAAGCAGGGAGCCTAGAGAATCATAGAAAGATATCTTCCTTCACAACATGAAGATACGATGATAACTTAGATAACAACGCGGAGACTAGACCACGACACCATGCTGTTCAAGAAGAAACAAGAAATGTGAAGGAAAACTCGACCTATAATTTGGGAGAGGATGGAATTTAGCACAGGAGGAAAAGCATCCATCAGTTACTTACTCCAGAACTGGGAGCCATCGAACTCAACCCCATAGCATACAGAAAAACTTGCTTCCTTCCTTTGGTTACGAGAGCATGAAACAAAGAGAACCCAGTAGCAGACAAGCTGGCTAAAAAGTCTAAGAAGATAAAAAGTAGCAAGCCAACAGACTGCTTCCTGAAAGATACTTCCCCAGTTTTCATTCTTCTAGCAAAATTAAGTGCAGCTTAACCCTCGGCCTACAGCCCCAAAAACATGTTCCCGTCTTCTCAGGCTCATCTTTTCATGGCCTTCGAAAGAACCCAGCGGCTCTAACTTGTTTTAACCTTTCCAAAGAGGATGTGCATGACAAATAGTTCCGAAATTCATATGCAACAGCACTGATTCACTTTGTCTCGAACCTCAAGATTTTCGCAAAGTAGTTCATTGACATCCCTTAAAATACAGATTCACATACAAAGCCAACTCTATTAATCTCTCCACTGCAGAAATCACAAGGAAAGGAAGACAACTTACAAATTCGTGAATGTTAAAGCATAAACATACCACCATCTCACACTATAGTCGACAAAAACAGAACCATCACTCCAAAGGCAATGCTTTTGATCGAAACCCTAAAGCAATTTACCTTTGAAAGACGAAGAAATGGAAAGGTTAGCGCTCTGGTCTGATGGAGATCACAATGCGAAGCCCTTCAAGTACTCAGGATCCCGCTTAGCCCTCTCTTGAAACTTCTTAAACCAGCGATCCAATATATCCATCGGCACAATCAGCTTACTCCCATCCACCCCACAAAACGACTGCATATAATTGAACAAGTTCTCCCCGACCCTCATGGCTAACCTCTCGATCCTCTTCTCCGCCGCCACGTCCAGCGACGTCAACGACGCCAAGTCCACCACCGACACCCCTATCTTCGCAGTCAGGGGCGCAGCGTCAGCTGCCGTCAGCTGCAGCTGCCCGCCTGGCTCCGGCCAATTGAGAGAGAGAACGGCGGAGGGACGAGCGATGGTGACGGCGCCGCAGTACTGGAACGCCGACCCGGGGGACTGAACGTAGACGGCTAAGGCTTTGTCCGGCGGCAAGGTGAAGTTGTTCAAGAGGAAGACGCATACCTCGCGGATTTGGTCGTAGGCCTCGCCGACAAAGGTATTCATGTCGAGGATCCAGTGGAAGGTGTCGATTTGGGAGAAGGCCGCGATGTCCAGCGGGAAGCTTCGGTTGGGGAATACAACGCCGAACATGGCTGGTTATAGGCTCGCAGTGTTGTTTTCAATCTTTTGCTGATCGGCTTGAAGATCAGTCCGCTTATGCTTCTGCAGTAGCCTTGTAATTAGGGATTTCAAATGAAGCAGCGAGGTGCGGGCAGTACAGACACAGTAGTAGGGAGTCGGAACCGTGGAGGAGAAGAATGGAGGAGTCTAGAAAGGCCCGAGAAAGATCAGGGAGAGCGTAGAATCTACTAGGGCCGGGCATGCAAATGGATCGCCGATGCGTTTGGGCCGATTCGCCCGCATTTGACCCAAATTTCATTATTTGGGGGTGATTGGTTGTGTTTAGAGTCATCCGATTGGTGGAGGGTGGTTTGTAAGCGGGTCACACACTCAACCCGACAACAAAAAGTCTAAAGCCATTGGCAAGGGAGAGCGGGGACGGAAACTATCATGACTTTATTTCAATGAGAGATTTTTATTTTGCATTTTCACAAATGTAGTCGAATGCGCATTTCTACACATAAATCGAAGAATGAGTAAAAACGTAAAATCGTAGCGTAAATCGTAAGTTTTTGTGTATGATCTAATTACTCTTAAAGAAACTACCTATCTAATTTATAAACATCACTACTGAGTCGCTAAAACACAACATCAAACTACGACCAAGTGTAATCGCAGTTCGGAAATGCAGTAAAGTGGGTTCACAACAGCTTTATCAAGTGATTACTTTGTTGTCCAATGTGCGACTTAAGTGATTAATATTTATTAATAATCTGATTTCTCACGTTCAATGGATGAAGAACCTCATAATAAAAAAGTTTCAATAATCCTGTTTAGTTTGACATCCAGATTGAAACAAAACAACGGATAATGAGTAGTAGTTGATAATTTGTTATATATTTTTTTTATGAATGAGCTAGGGTTCTTAAACCCAAGAGACGAGGGCAAGTTTCTAGAGAGAGAAGAAAGAGATTACAAATTAGAGCACAAGATCTTCTTCTTCTAGGCTTGATTCCTTGCTTCGAAGCTTGATCAATGTCTTCAGTTAAGCTACAAGAACACTTAAGAACTCTCTCTCTCACTAGAACTTCCCTTTGATGTTTTGGGTCGAAACCCTAGAAAGAGAATAAATTTCTCCTCCAAAAACCAATTTCACGGTTTGGGGGTGATTATCATGGTCTCGGGACCGTGATAAATGAGTGTTGCCCTTGAAGTCTTGCACTTCACTCCATGGGGGTGATTTTCACCCCCTCATGGTGTGACAAATGCCTTTAGCCCGTGAACATTGCACAACCTCCACTTTTTGGCTTGTTTTGACCTCTAAATGACTCAAAACTCGTTCTGGACCTTCCCACACGTACTAGGACCTGAAATATGACAAAAGAAGCACAACCTAGCGTAAAATAGGTCGAGGGACGATGAAATTCAAAGTCAAACTATCAAGAAATGAGGGGTAAAATGTGTACAATTGAGCCTGAATCACACCCCTACACTTGAACGTTTGCTTGTCCCCAAGCAAACCAAGTACAAAACAAGGTAAGCTTACAACTTCGTTTTCAACAAAAATTTTGGGGCATGTCATAGGGCACAAAACAAATGAATCTCAATGGTTATTTGACACCAACCTATAGACAGAAACAAAGTAATCTTAGCAACCACCACAAATGACATTCAATTGTATTAAGATTGTGCAAATGAAGAGTTCTCAGATTATTCATCAACCAACACATAACATATTTTGATGACTCACCAATCACAGTCACTCATGCATGAAGATCACATCATAGGAACAAACTATCGAGCAACCTAAGTCCTCACCGGGGTATAAGATATGAACAAAACATATTGAATTAATCACTCACTCTCAACCAGTAGGGTCAGGATCCATTTGATGAAAAAGATGTGCATACACTCACGCTCAATCCTAACGTCCCTTTACCATGGTGATAGCCTTTAAATGCTAGGGGTAACAAGATGGGTGTCGTTGCTAGCTTGCCCAAAGGTCTTAGACACATATTCAAATGACTAGCTAGGGTCTAGGACGTGGGGAAATGACCTTTTGGGTGGTGGCCCACATAGCATGAGGTTCCACAACTTCAACCTAGAACCAAAGTACAAGGTTCCTTATCTAGAACGTATTCACAACAATCAAATACCACTAACACAACCAATGGCCAAACAATATGCCATTCCAAACCACAAACTATCCCTAAACCAAGTCACACATACTTTCTTTCCACATTTGCTATTCAATTTCAAGCACAAGAGTGTGGAGGTAAATAACATGTAAGTGTTTCTATAGCTTGCATGCTAAGAAACACTTCTAAGAACATATCCAACATTTATTATATTTTGTGTGGTCACTCTATTTTCTTCTTTGCCCTTTATTGATTTCCTTTTTTATTTCTCTTTTCTTTTCTTTTTTCTTTGAGGGATACAGAGTACTAAAAACATGCTAAACTTTTTAACTTAAGGAACAATGCTCACTTTTAAGAACTACCTCAACACTCACTTCAAATTCTTAGCAAAATCGTACACAAATCACTCATGTGGAACCTCATTTAAGCTCAAATGGTATAAATGGAGCTTCCAACACACAAAGGTGACTCGAATACGGTGTAGACATGAAGAAATTAGGGTCGATTTATCTAAATCAATCAAGCTCAAGTAGCGAGAGCTACCTAACATGAGAGCGACTCTTAGACACACGGCTCAAAAGGGTTGACTAGGGGATAATGAAATCAGGACAAGTCAAATTTTGGGTTATGGACTAAACCTATGTCTCCATCTTCCTTGCTAACAACATCATGAATGCTACACATCATGTAAAGGGGGATCTATCCCACAAGAACGAAAAAACGACACAAGTCTCACATGGCTACTTAGGTGCTTAATCATTCGTTCTAGCTCCCTAAACTCAATGCATAGGTAAATGTGGTAAGTGTGTAATTGATTCAAAACATTTATCGGTTCACAAACACATGATAACTGAACCTATGCACAAACCTCATACAAGTCTCAGTCATCATAATAGGATGCACACAATCACAATCAACCATCCATAGATTGATGCTAATAACCAAGAGATTAAAACAAAAACCCCACCACAAGTGCCACTACAATCATGCAAATATAGAAGTTGCTATGCTTGGAGCCCTCAATTTTTTAAAAAATTTGGGCATACAACTAGGCTCCAAGCACTCAAAATCATACAAAGAATTCACACACACAAACATAAAAGATTCCACCCACCCACCCCACCCACACACACACTTAAGCTCGACATTGTCCTCAATGGCGTAAGATAAGGAGGTAGAACGATGTTACCGGATAAGGTGTGAATGTTGGTGATCGGGAGCGGAGGGCGGGTGGGATCCGGAAGATCAAGGTGATGGCCAAAACACCCAAAAGCACTCCCATTGGTTGTATTATTGAAATGAAAAGAGATGCAAATTGATGATGGTTGGGTTGCATCCCGCCAAGTGCTTCTTTAACGTCGTGAGCCGGACGATTACTCCTCAAGTTTCAGTCCATCCAAGAACCTCCTTAAAGTCGAGGTTCTGGTCGGTGAGGTGGTTTCTCAAGTCACGAGCATTGGACGAGTCCATGATTGAGAGCTCGTGAGCTTGATTAGTCATAAGGCTCCACCCACGAGACCTCTTCTTCTTTCCTTCTTCATATTTCTCTTTACCTCACACTATGTAATGCATCATTGATTGACCACTATCGCATCCACCAAGGGGGATCACCGATGGTTTGTCCTTGGCTTGGCAAAGAGCCGCAAATGGGTTCTTCTCCAAAAGCACATCGAGGTCAGATGGAAAGCTTTCATAGCACTTGTAACTTGTGGATACTTCATCTACCTCGACCTCATCTTGGACGCCATTTTCTCTTACAACTTCATCTACAACCTCCCTTCCTTTTTCTTCAATTTTCTCCTCTTCTTGGGAACAATCAAGATCTTCCCCTTCTTCGATGCTCACTTCCTCCTCCACAACTTTCCTTATCGCCTTTTTCCTCTCTTCCTCAAGCACACAGTGGAGGGCAAGTTTCCAAGAAATTTCTTCAATATGATCCTCTTGTATCTCCTCCTTTGTGCACAACTTTTCAAAGCTCGAAGCGGAAGACGGAGGAATATGGTTAACCACCAAAGGACTTGGTTGCTCCACATCATCTCGGGTGCACTCCGGGATTGTTCTTCTTGCTCCCTAAAGTCCTCAGTGATCGTCCTTTCAACCTCTTCTCTCTCTTCCAATGGTAAGAGTCGATGGTGTGCCCAAGCTTGTGCTACCTTATCTTGAAGTGTCAAACCAAGAGGAGGGAGGGGTTGGAAATCCATGTTGAAGCTTGTTCTCTGAAAGTTCTCCATGGAAAGCTCCCATTTGGACTTCTTTTTGGCTTGCGGAAGATCTAAGTTCGAGCACCCTTCATCGGTGCGTCGGGGAAACCGCTCCACTAAGAGCTCCAATTCTTTCTTTGGCTCCAATTGCAGAGTGGCACATGGTTTTGAGGTATGCCCCATGAAAGCCTCCATGGCCAAAGCCAACTTGGATTTCTCCTCGGCTTGTGGAGAGAAATCTTCTTGATATGGGGAAGCCTTTCCATAGAACCAGGTTCCTTGGCCTCCACCCTCTTGATTGTTCCATGAAGCTATGAGGTACCCCCATTCGGGTAGTTGTGGATACCCCCACATGTTGTAGAAGCCATTGAGATCCATGATTCAACCTATAAACACAAAAACATAAAAAGAGTGGGTCAACAAACACAAAACAAAACACAAAATGGCTAAAGTAACAACCTAAGCCCTTTTTTGATAACTTAGAATGGTTCCTCGACAACAGCGCCAAAAACTTGACTCGAATCTAACTACACGTCCCAATCGATGGCCAAATATAACCAACGATCGGGTGTAGCATAGGGTAAGCAAGCAATAAAACTTATCGAACCACGGGGATCTAAGCTAACCTTACTTCGGGTTTAGGGTTCGTTATCTAGCCAACCTAGGATAATGATTAAGAAAACTAAACTAA